TGTGTGTGTGTGTGTGCGTGGGAACAGAGAGGAAGAGGTGTATATTTTTGTGGGAACACCTCACCCTCTGCTTGTTACTCTGACTGGAAAAGATAACACAAGCCTGGATTCCCCTCCGCTGGAAATGAACACGTGAGCTTCCACAGTGTGTGTGTGTGGGTGTGTGTGTGTGTGTGTGTGTGTGTGTGTGACAGACTCACACTCTACACACCTGCCACTCATCACCCACAGTTTGTTGTAATAGATTACTAGATACTCTCAGTTCCTCTGGATTCCAACTCTTCAGTCTCACTCCGTCTCTCTGCTTCGCTGTGAAACCATCGTCTGCGGAGCATCTTGTTACGGCCTCGTGCCTCTAGTGGCTGTTGTGAATATGACAGGCGGGATGTAAAGACCATCGTGAGTTTGAGTCAGACGTTGTTGGTTTTATGTTTATTACTGTAACCATGACGACAACGATCCTCTAAACTTAAGAACGTGCAGATTTTAGCCCAAACCGCAGTTACCAAACTTTAACCAAGTGTCACCATCACGGAGAACGTCAGGTACGTCACATTATTGTTACCATGATGACGAAGGTTCCTGCCACCGGTAGGCTCCTGTGGGTTTTAACCGCTGACGGAGATCTGAGCTGTGAGGCTGTTTACTACTGTTATCACTTTACTACAGGAAAGAAAAGAAGAGGAACAAGGGAGGAGAGAGATGAGTGTGTGTAATGTAAGAAGAGAGAGAGAGAGAGAGAGAGAGAGACAGAGGGAGAGAGAGACAGAGGTAGAGAGAGACAGTGACAGAGGGAGAGAGAGACAGAGGTAGAGAGAGACAGTGACAGAGGGAGAGAGAGACAGAGGGAGAGAGAGAGGGATTTTCCCGTCTCTTTCAGTCTTGTGGTGTTTTATTGGCCACATGTGGTCGCGATGTCGGTTCAGTCACCACAACTACACACTGACTCACTAACTGTGTGTGTGTGTGTGTGTGTGTGTAGCTGCGGTTGTACATGTGTGTGTGATTTCACAGACTCTGATGTGAGCTGACAGCTGGTTTACTCTGTAAATATGTTTGTTTTTGAGTTTGTGCAACTTGCAACATCTTTGTGTGTGCGTGTCTGTGTGTGCATGTGTGTGTGTCTGTCTGTGTGTGTGTGTGGTTAGTGTTCAGATGACTTTTGTCCGTAAACCTCATCTTAATAATTGAATTGTATTTTTCTATTTAAACAGATTCACACTCATTGATGTAATTAATCAAACTGTGTCTATGAGTGTGTTTTGATTTAGGTTCTTATTCAGTTCATGTTACTGCAGAGCAGAGGATCATGGGAAGTCTCTCACTAATCACTCGAGGTTTTTTATACCCTATAGAGCACTGGTTGTTTCCCATGATGCATCGTGTACGATGGTCACTAATTGATGGAGCATTATTTTCAGTTTCTAAACCTCTGGAATCACTCTGTATTCTCTCGTAGGGAAACTCCGCCTCTGTTTGGCTCCATCACGGAGGAACACATGTTCACAGTTCTGGTTCTTTGACGTCACTAAATTCTCCGACACAGAAGAAAAAAAATAAATTAATTTATTCCTGTGACATCTGCTCAACCGCTGCACATGAAGTAGATATATATATAAATGTATATAATAAAACATCGACCTGAGATCGTATTTCTTTACTAATGTAATAACATTTAGAAATTATTATATTTATGTGTGTACACAAAATTCTTCTTCTATTCAAATTATAGTTTTATTGTTTCGCAGCCTGAGGAGAACGTTTGTAGAATTTATGTAAAAAGCAAACGAATCAAAAAATAAAACTCACATGAAAAAAAGAAATCAACATATGAACTGAACTTCTGATTTTATGAATCGTTGCACATTTAGCAGCGAGATTTATCCCATAATGCAATGCTCTGCATTGCACGGATCATTAATAACTAGAATGTCCTGAGTGGAGAAGAGTCTCTTCCCCTCTCATCCTCCCTGATCACTGTCCTCACGTCCGTCCTGTGTCTTTATCACCTCTGTTGTTTACTCTGAGAACAACGTGCAGCATCAGACACGTTCTGTTCCGACAGTTACCAGATCAAAATAAAGAAATATAGTAATAAGTCAAAGTGCAGCTTTCTAAACACGGAGCCCTGGGATCAATAAAGAATTCTGATATTTAGAAAACTGTTAAAATATCATTAAACTTCATGTTTAACACTGGAATCATTGTTTGTGTCTCACATTCAACCACCGTCTCAGCTCGCTGCTCTGATTGGACCAGATGATGTCCTTGGGGGGGGTGTCTCGTTCACTGCAGGATGTCGGCCGTCTCTTCCAAACCCCCCACTACTTCCTGTTTCCTGCAGGAAGTAGCTCTGCGTTCACCTCCTGTCCGAGGGCGCGGGGAGAGGTTGTAATAACTCGTGTGATGTCACGGAAAACAACATCAATCTTTATTCATATTTTTAGAAACAGTGAAGGACGATGTCCATGAGTTTGAAATAC